CACCACTGCTTTGCACATGGATGCCTTGCCCAAAGGGCTACAAGAGCCGCATTGTTAGCATTGTATAATACTTAAACAAGGTACCTCTGCAAATGAATTATTCTTAGTTATTTTTTTTTTAATTTTAATTTATTTCTTCCGAAAGTGTACTTCCTATCACATATAATTTCACTGTCTTAGTTAGGCCTAGGCCTAGTCTTATGCCTCATCGTCCCCCGCTACACAGTACATCAGGAGCCCCTCCCCTATACAGTATAGACGTTTGCTAGGTAACAACGTGATTGCACCTTCCTTCCCAGGTGTTCATGTACCATTGACATAATTGTTAGCTAACCAGTTGTGTGTATTTCTTTGTGAAAATGAGTACCTCGGCGTACTCATTTTCACAAAGCATTTGCATCCCCTCTTGGAAAGAGGGATTCGAAATAATTGTCTCCATATCTTCGCTAATTAAATTAATCACCGTAATTTAGCTTACACTTATGAATTTAGGGAGCACTTACAATGTGAAATAATCATTTCACTACCCGACAAACTCCGAACTTTATTCATTCATTAGGCCTACATAATAGTTTCATATTGCTGTACTGTATACTCCAACATCACTGGCGCATGGTAACAACTAACTGACTGCAGACCATTTCTGGTCACACATTACTCTCCATAACACAGCACCCCCTAGTTCCGTCACCTCTGGATTAGCTTCAGTTTACAGTAGTGCAGCGAGAACAGTTTGGTTAGTCAACCTCGAGGTTGGGATTTTAACCAAGGTACTTTAACTGCTTTTCTCTACCCAGTCCAAGTTAAATCGGTACCTGGTGGGACTGATTGCTCCTGCACTGATTGCATTCAGCAACTTAATAAGCATGTGAACCCAATAACCTGCTTTGTATCTGAAAAGAAACTGCAAATGAACAAATAAATCAATAATTTAAACCTTGGTGCAAATAATCCAAAATATGTGTTTTAAATTGTTATCATTTCTCCTTCATAAGTTCCATTCTTTATATTGAAAAATTTCCATAATTAATTTAGATTGAAGTCTTCCTGTGTAGGATGTGCTCGTTGCTAAGCTGACTATAAAGCTAATTTGTTGACAGTAGTATTGCTGATGTTAGGTTGCAAATGATCAGTCTAATACCTATTGCATGGACTAAAATGGACATTGATATTTCAAGAGTGACAGTATATAACCTGCTAGAAAAGGT